GAAGAATGGTAAGAATAATAGAGGATGAACACGGATAAATGAATCAATTAGTTTACATACATTCATAAATTATGCTTCACCTCTTTTATCATTGTTGTTATTAATGGCAGTATTGCCATCAGCATTGGCTGATAGCAAGAAAATTTTATTTTCTTTCAAAAATTCCTCAAGACGTTCAGAGAACCATCTGGGATACTTCATGTAAAAATCATGGCCACCAAGCAGATGACTTTCAATTCTGTAAATCGATTTTTTTGTTACTAATTCGTTGTCTGTAATCAATTTCAGTATTTTGTATTATGCATGAATTATTGATTAATTGTATTGTTCTCGTTTTGTTTGAATGACAGTGATTATTCATCATAATAATTTATATGTGTATATAAGTACTATTGAAATTCTCTCTTGTATAATAATGGAAAGTTTAAGAATTTATTCAAATACATCGTATTTATAGTGGAGCCTCGGTTCATGATAACAATTATTAACAGTTGCAAAAATTTATCATAACTTGAAACTGATTTCATTCGAGATTCTGAGTATAGTAATTATAAATAAATAAAAGTGAATTTGAATGAAACAAACTTGCAATTATTCAGAACCGATTTGAAGTAATTTGGATCAGCGCAAAATCGGTCCATGCCTCCGTTTAAAATTAACACAGGTATTTTTATGTTCGCTAGAACGTAATCGCATGGGAACCGACCACCCAGTAGATTATATACTCTATAAAACTAATGAACTGTGTTCAGCATATTCGTTCACGAGCAATCATCACTCAGGTTACCAATTTTCATTGTTTGTTAATGTTTAGCTCATACGGGTTTTTTTCATAGCGTTGACTTTTTTTCGCAGTTTACCAATTTTTCGGATGATAAATATTCAAATAAAAGCGTTAATTGGATTAATGAATATTAGAAATGAATTCTTTAAAGAAACATACTCTTCGAAAATATCACACAGATCAGCCCATTGTTTTGATACAAATTCTTTAGAATAAAATTCTAGATATGAATCCATTGTATGTGAGAGCCACTGTTCAGTGTTTCGCATACCTTAATTTAACAGTCATTAGTGCATGTTGAACTTATTATAATGATGAATATGATAACAATACTTATGATCATCACTTGTTATTATCACTGTATAAAGAATAATAATGAACGAATACAATCGCAGTTTGCTTTAAGGCAGTGTGAGACATGAAGATCCGCACTGAAGACCTACTAATGGCCGACCGGGAACCAATGGAATCTTGATTTTTCTAGATGCATATTTGGTCCAAGCGTTTTCTAGATGGATTTCTGACTTTCTATCAGCAATCTGACTGTGATCTCCTTAAAGGCACCAATTCGAAATAATGAAGCTGATCATTTTCAAGTTGACGAACAGTGCGCGCAATCAGTGTCCTAAGGCATTGTGCATGTTCTCGAACACATAGATCAGTTAAATGAACCTTTGAATACTTGAACACCTCGATAATCAATTCTAGATGCGGCTGATAACAGAATCACACTTTTGATTAGTGACCCAAATCGGCCCTGATCAGCAACATGAATTGCTGTTCTTGAACCTTCACTCCATCCTAACACAGTGAACGGTATCATTTTCAAGTACTGAAATAATTATTTTCTATTGCTTACGTTTACTGATCATTGTTATCAACTGGATCATTGCCATTGCCTATCTTTGCCGACAACAGTTCCAATTACTATTAATGTTATCTTACTGATAAGTTGTCATCACTCTGTGACACAACCTTCATGGAATTAAATTTTCACAGTCGCTGACTTTCTATTAGTAAGTAAATGAAAAATAAAATTCATTTTGGAAATGTCATCTAGTCCTGTACCAGAAACCGTGAGATATGATTCGATTAAGTTACACATTTACAAACCTGCATCAGTTTAATACAGAACGATGCATCTTTCATACATCGATTTACCTCTTGTTTCCTGAAACTTACATCTAATTTTTCCATTTAATATTTACACAATCGATTTTTTCAAACATTTACTTTTCATTGACCTTTTTTTCAACATTCCCAATTTGTTAAAAGCAATTTTTGTGAGTAAGTAAATGAAAAACCTAACCTATCCGGTGGTCTGCTGGTACCATATCCCGGTGGATCGATACAAACGATTGTGTAATTCGATGGATTAAATGATTTCTGGAGGCTCAATGGATAGTCTTTTTTATAGCATCCTTAATATGTTCATCATCAGTTGTAAATAAGCATACGGCCATGCACATACAATAACGACAAAAACAAACAACTAACCTACGCCACCACAAATAAACAACATTTTATTCAAACCATTTCCATAAATGCTATATCCAATTTTGGTATCATTGATAACTGTTGTATTTTCAGTTATCTCTTTTGAATTATTTTCGTTATCTTCATCATATTTACTTTTGTTGCTCGTCGCATTTCGTATCAATAGCGATTCATCAGTTTTTATCGATTTCATTTCTTCACTTTTACTGTTATTACTGTTATTGTTCGTTATTATTATTATTATTATTATTATTATTATTATTATTATTATATCGTTATTTTTTTATTATTATTAATTAATATTGTTGTTATTCGTGCACGTAACCGGACGACTCGCTTAAAGACACATTGCCTAACGACACTTTGACTAATGGACATTTTACTTAATAGGCAAAATGTCCATTAGACAAACTGTCTTTAGGCAAAACGTCTTTAGGCAAACTGTCCGGGTACCGTTCCTGCATGATATTGTACGTTTTTTTAATTGTTATTTTCATGAGTGGTTATAATTACATGAATTCAAATCATGCGAATCAAGTTTGGCACAGGGACGGGGAAAAATCACTTTTGCTCTTACCGCCTCCGTATCGTGGTCTCCTCACGGGGACAGAGGTCTCATTCAGACTTACCAACTAACTTTCACATTCCCTAGTGTGTACCAGTGTCCCGAAGCAACGAAACCATACCTTCGCCACCCAAGTATGCCATTCGCGCGGTCAAAGCCAACTTGTGAAGACAGTCTTTCGGGACGCTTCTCCATTTCTATTGTTCAAATTCATGTATTAACCCCGAATGTATGCTCTACCTCAACTCAATCGCTCCCTCGAGTCTTTCATTCTCTTGTCGACCGTCTCGTTGCACAAATCCCCTCTCCACAAGTCAGTCCCCACCGAGAGTTTTCATCCTTCATCCCCTCTTCTCCCTCAATGATTGACTACCGAGTTGCACAGTCTCCTCTCCAATTCAGTCATTACCATCGAATTTTCTGTCCCATCCACTTAAAAAAAACTGAACTATTGCAATCGTGCTGAGAATGAGATGTTGAAGAAACAAACAATCGTATCGTAAAGAAACCTGAAAATTTTGCGTTTCCTCCATCGATTATTCCCCGCGAGGAGACAATAGTCACGGGGACGGGAAGAACAAGTTTCTCCTCTCCCCGTCACCGCAAGGACAGGAACAAATCATTTTTGGTATTCCTGTGCCCGTGAAGTTCCCGCACCAACCTTGAAATAAATATAAAGAGTGGTATGAAAATGAAACATAATATGTTATTTATTATTCTTCATATTCATACTAGAACGACGTCATATGAAAATCAAAACGACCAATGGTTAAGGTGGGTGACACGGTTGGATCGTACCACGAATATAGCACTGAGAATGAGATTTGACGTGTGGAAGAGTATAAGAGAAGTAAACTGAAATGGGCAGAACATGTAGCTGGGATGAGAGGTGACTATGCTGAGATCAGAATGGTATGCGAGAGAATGGAGAAGATCCGTCGGGCGACCTCTGAAGAGATCTCTCGAGAATACGACATCGTCAGATGAGAGGGACACTTGTGAAGAAGTAACAGCTGAANAAAATAAACTTGCCCTAACATAATGAACTGCATCGCGTAGTACAACATATCACATAATATTAATAGACTTCAATTAATCACATAATATCAATATAGCTTCACTTAATCACCTAATATTAATATGGCTTCAACTGATACAGCGTGTTTACTATTGCTTTAACGTATCGCTGAACTGAGTAAATATAAATAAAATATGAAACTTTAATAACGATAGTACTAATAGCCATAATAGAAACAATTATAATATTATATTGAGAATAATAATACCAGTAATAAGTTTTATTTTCGACTGCAAAATCGGTTATCCCTTAGAAAGTTTTTCAACAACTTTTTCGTTCATTCATAAAGCGAAAACATCGTAGAATAATTTTCAGAATACAATTATTGAATGAATGAAGCAGCAGTATTGCATGCAGCCACATGCATGTGAAACGTACACAAGAATGAATAAGTAAGTAGACGAATACATTTATTGTTATTTCTCGGAATAAATATCAGTCGAAATAAAAACATCCTAATGAAAATATTTGAGCGATAAAGCAGACAGATAAAATTGTTGATATTCATCTCAGATGATATTTTATTTCAAACTGTTTCTCATTATATAATAGCAGTGAATCGAGTATAGCCTATGCGACTATGGATACATGGATAGTTAGTGCATGAATGTGTTATTTGTATTATAACGTTCGTTTTCAGGTAATACATAAGATTATGTTACAATAAAATGCAACAAATCGTGTTTCCTCGAAGATATCTTCCGAGAAGGCTCCTTGGATACGAGAGTGCCCCTCTTTCGTTCTTACTCTCTCTCCTCAGCAAATAAAAGTGTGCGTTGACAAACCAGTATGCGACAAACTAGCATCGCAAGGAGATCCCTGTAGGATGCTGCTCAACCCGAGCTCTCGAAGTGGCACTGCTGGTTAAGTTGTGTTGGACAGAAACCAGTGCGCCTGAGCAGTGAAATGTCCATACACAACGCAGCAATTCTGTTCAGTCTAGGCATCTCCACGAACAATTCATTTGGATGCACAGAATTTTCACCTCTTGATGGCTAAGATACGCAGGGTCTATCTTTCCACCAAAACTTAACCCACAATGCATCTTTCGCACGACTAATTTCCAGTCTTTCCATATGTCCGTAACAAGCAGTTTACAATGCGGAACCTTTTAAATTCCCTCTTAATTGACGCTAGGGCCAGTTTGAAATGCTCAATCCGTGTGCTTCCATCCGGAAGTTTCTTGAGAGGCGCCTTCTTTTGGCTCAGCATTCAGGGGCTAATATGTAGCGATAAGAACGTTTATTTAAAGCCTTACATTCTGCTGAGAATTGTGTAATGCTTATATTGTAATAATCGTTTTGATATAATATACGAAAGGATAATTTGAAAGAAAGATAAGCTTGATCTAACTGAGGATTCGGTTCTGTTCATTTTTTACATTCGAGAAGGAATATTGAATCGGTAAGCGCACTTTTTTGGGAGACTCTTTCGTCGAGCAATCTCATCTCAATCACTTGTTACGGAAACGTGCATTTTTCTTCTCGGTGAGCAGGGAGGGGGGGATGGGAGAGAGGTGAATTGTTCAAAGGG